ATAATTTGCATTCATAAAGAATAACACATGATCAGTAAAGAAACTATGTGTTATCATTGGACAATTATTAGTGATTTGGTTCCTCTAAGCATTCTTCTTTCTGCATACTTGCTTATCATTCTAGACATCACTTCAACAACTAAAATGAACAAATATGGTGACAAGGGATCCCCTTGTCTCAAACCTCTTTAGGGAATCAAGTCTGCTACCTTTTTTCCAGACAAGCAAATATTAAGCTTCATAAAAGATATACATTTCACCACTAACTTTACCCATCTATTAGTGAAGCCAAATTTTAGCAGAGTAGCTTCCAGAAAATCCCACTCTACTCTATCATATGCTTTACTCATATCCATTTTTAGAGCAAATTCAAACTTCACAGAATTCTTCTTGCATCTGAGATAATGAAAGATTTCATGAGCAACCAAAATATTATCATGAATCATTTTGCTAGGCACAAAAGCACCTTGGCTCTTCAAAATGCAAGTATCCAGCCAAGACTTAATTCTATTAGCTAACACCTTTGATATCACCTTATACACAAAGTTACATAAGCCAATAGGTCTAAACTGACTTGCATCCTCTGGTTTGTCAATTTTAGGAATTAGAGTAATGCTAGTCACATTCAACTCATCAATCTCCACGTTACCTTCAAAGAAGCCCTTGAGCATCTGCCATACTTCCTTTTGAACCACAGACTAAGAGACTTGATAGAATTTTCCACTTAAGCCGTCTAGACTAGGAGCTTCATTTCCTCCTAATTGAAACACACTTCCCGCACTTCTTCACATGTAACCTGCTGTAAGAGGGAGATTGTTTATATTATCAATCACACAACAGTCTACAAATTGAAGTACATTATCAAAATTCCTGGCACCAGAAGCTTTGAACAGGTCTTTATAGTAATCCATAAAGCAGGAAGCAATTTCATCTTCTTTCTCTAGCCACATCCCATTTTCATCCTTAATTCTCAAAACTACATTTTGCTGTCTTCTATAAATGGTGGTCAGATGAAAAAAATCTTGAGTTCATATCTCTTGCACAAAGCCAAGAGTTTCTTGACCTTTGCCACCAGTAGATCTCCTCATTTCTCCAAATTCTATCAATTTCTTTCTCAAGATTATTAATTTCTTCAGAGATGGCCTCAGAATAATCAGCTTGGTAACATCGAGAAATTTTCAACATTAATTCCTCAATCAATTTCCTATTATTAGGAAAAGCTACCTTACTCTACCTTCTTAGCTCTTTTCTACAATTCTTCAACCTTAAAGTAACTTCCTTCACAGCATCAACTTTCCTAGATCCACCAATGCTCCATCCCCTTTCAACAACATTAGGGTATTCTGGATGAGTAATCCATTACTGCTCAAATTTGAAGCATCTAGGCGTCTTACTTTCCTTATAGCAAAGATCTACTATTAAGGGAGAGTGGATAGGTCCCACCGGCTCTAAATAGAAGACTTGAGCCTTATGGAACTGTTCCCTCATCTCAATATTACAAAGAGCTCTATCTATCCTTTTCTTTATATATTCCTCATTCTTCCTTCTATTACACCATGTAAATGATAAGCCTTTGTAGCCCAAATCAATCAACTCACAATTTGTAATAAATTGTTGGAAGTTTCTTATTTTTCTAGTTGCTCTTGGGTTACCACCACTTTTTTCTGTTTGATCAAAAATGTCATTAAAATCGCCTACACATAACCACGCACCCTTTACTTCTCTTGTAAATTCACGAATGGTCTGCCAGGTTCTGAATCTTTCCCTTTCATCATTGGGGCCATAGACAAAGGTAATGAATTTAGGCACATCAACTTTTACAAAATCAACCCTCGCATGAATCAAAATTTTAAGCCAAACAAAAAACTCCATTTTGATATCTTCACACCACCAAACAGCCAATTCCCCACTCCTACCACTCGACTCCACCAAAAAACTACCATCAAATCTATATCTTCTTCTTAGCTTATCAACTTTCACACTTTTTTGTTTGGTTTCCATAAGAAAAGCAATAAGGGGTTTTTTAGTTCTTACAACATCTTTCAAGTTTCTAACTGTCAAGGGAACCCCCAAACCTTGATAGTTCCAAGATAAAACACTTATGGCTCCTTAGTGGCTGTAGCCCAACCACCAAAGCCTTTAAAGAAATTCAGGCAGCTTTCTCCCAACAAGTCAGCTTCATACCCTTCCTTTAACAGGAGTTTTAACAATTCTCCTCTCCCTTGCCATACTCTCCTCTACAATTCTTTTCCTTGCCATTCCCCTTGCATTTCGTACATTCATCCTGCTATTTCTGTTAATAATTGGCTTCTGTACAGCCTCAACCTGATTGTTTACATGCTCCTCCAACACCTTCTTTTTCTTTTTAATTCTGTCATCAATTTCATCTGTTAGGCCTCTTTTTAATCTGACTTTCTCAAAGCTTTCCACGACTCCAGCAAGAAGAGCGATGCTTCCATAAACTACCACATCTTTTCGTATGTTACTCAATTCCTCCACAGCCTTTCCTTCTCACCTTCCAACCCACTTTTATTGTCTAATTCCTCTATGTTTTTCTCTGCTATAGCATTTTCAGTATCAACATTTTTCACTGAACTGTCAAGATTATGTACTTTCTTTATCTGACACATTTCCCTCCATACCAGTATTATTAGCCGAATATGTGTCATTATCTTTGTTATTCTTAACTTTATTCCTTACAGTCAGGCAGGTCTTTGAGCACAATTCACCATCTTCACTTTTACTGGTCAGATTATCAATAAGGTCAACACTCTTTCCATGTCTCCTTATAGATCCATTTTCCTCAATCTCCTCCCAATTCTTTTTACAACTGACTATAATATCATCTAACCTTCTACTAGCTTGCACATTCAACCAATTTCCATACTGTGCATTAACATTCTCATCAGTGTTCTCACGGTGACTACAATTTCTCATATCATGTCCAATTCTACCACAAAAAAGAACAAATGAGACAATCTTTCATACCTCACTTTGACCCAAGTTGGATCTTTACTAAGTCTTCGCAATTAATTCCAGTGACTAGCCGTTCATTCAAGTCAATAAGTACTCGATCTCTTAAGAAACTCCGTACTAGTAGATCTCCCTTCCTCAGATTTTCAACTAGAACTGCTTCGCCTATTGCTCTACCAAGTCTCCTAGCACTTTCTACGTTCATCGCAACTCTTGGAAGATCTTGAAACTGGATCCAAAAAGGGCACTGCTCAAAATCAATCTTGCTAAGAGCCATGTCATCACTCTAGCATTGAATGTTTAGGAGCCATCCATTAACCGACCAAGGCCTTCTGCATAGGATTCTCATGTAATCTTCCTTACGTCTAAATTCAAACATGAAAGCCTTTTGGTTAATCTCCACGATCTCCAAATCTTCCTTGCGCTCCAAACTCCAACCTTCCTAATCATCTGTAGGATAGTAGGTACATTCAGATTCTTATCTGTGATTAGTTTTCCAACTAATTTACCACCAATCTAATTGTGATCGCTTTTGTCAATCGAATTTAGATCGACCTCTACATTATTGTGTTTTCCCCCTCAAATCTTCACTTTCACCTCCTTCTAACATCACCATTCACTTCAGACTCCAGAGCACCTTCAATAAAATGCAATCTCACTGAGCCTCTGTTACAGAGTATAACAGAGGATCCAATCAATTTTTCCCCATCGCAGTGGGTGACGAGGCACACACTAACTCTCTCCTTCTTCTTCGTCGCAATGGCACTGCGAAGCAAGAAGTCACGACTTCTGATGATGACCTTCGTAACTAACTCTCACAAGGGAGAGAGAAAATGCTCCCACTAGGAGAGAGGACGCTCTTAAGATCATTTTGCTTTTGTTTCAAAAAGAATTGCCTTGACTTAAATTTCTTTTTCCCCGCTTTGGAACAAGACGGGGCAGAGCCTGAAACTCAAAACAAAATCAAGAAATCAAATAAGGTGTTGCAATACCCACAATATCTCAACACAATAAAGCAAAAAAAAAAGAGACTAAAATTTGAAATCTCTACTTAAGGCTTAGTTTTTCTGTGAATCAATGTGTACAAATCAAAATTCTCTTTTCAAATTTCACGAACTAGTGTCACCATATGACCCCCACCATTTTGATTCATTTTGGATTTAAATTTGTTCTTCCCTAACGAATTTGAGTGTCTTTGGATCTCTGTTTCCAAGTTTACCTTTATAAATGACCAATTTTATGATTTTTTTAATCATTTTTGTCTTTTCAAATTATCACTTATCACAACTTTTCGCATCCTTTTATATTCTTCTTCTTCTACCATGCATTCCTTCAATTAATTATATTCAAGCTTAACACCCAACTAGGGGTGTTCATAATGCTTGTTAGCCTGGTGCGCCTGCTCGAGCCCAGAGAAAAAAAAGCCTGGCCTGGCCCAGCCTAAAAAATTGAAGCCCAAAAGAAAAAGGGCATTTTTTGGTCAAGGCTTATCATGGGCAGGGCCAGGTCGTGGGCACGGTGCCCTGCCCTGCCCGAGATAAATTTATATTTTCTTTTTTTTAAAATTCTTTCATTCTTTCCCTTCCAAGTTCCAGCCTAGCCTCCCCCCCTAATCGCGACTCCCTCCTCTGCTCTCACACTCTTAGACTCAAGTGACACTGTGCCAGAGTCTCCAACTCTCTACTCTCTCGACTCTCTCGCCTCTTGGTCTCCCTCTCTAGCTCTCCCTCTTGGTCTCTTAATCTCCCTCTCTGGCTCTCCTTCTCGGTCTCCAACTCCGTCTCCTCCTCCCTCTCAATCTCGATCTACTCTCCTTCTTCCTCTCGGTTTCTGTCTCCATCTCCCTCTCCCTCTCACTCTCAGTCTCAGTCTTCGTCTTCATCACCCTCTTGGTCTCCCCCTCCCTCTCAGTCTCTGTCTCACTCTCTCCCCCTCCTTCTCAATCTCAATCTCCCTCTCCCTCTTATTCTCCCTCGGTCTCCACTTCCCTGCCACCCTTTCCTCCGTCGCAGCCCATTGAACCCATTAGTCTCTCGACAACCCTTTCCTCAATCTCAGTCTCCCTCGGGCATCACAGAATAAGAGAAACAGTAGCTCACAGCAAGGTACGTCTCTCCCATCTCAGGTCAGTCTTCATTTCCATTTCAGTTGCTCCATTTTTCTATATTGATTTGTCTATTGGGATTTGTCTATTTACAATTTTGAAAGGATGATGAAATTAAGATGTCCTTCACTTTCTGCTCATTATTGCAAACCATATTGTACAATAAGATGTTTATGATAGGTTATGTAGGCATATGTGTTCTTGAATTGTAATATATAGCTTCATAATTTCTGTTAGATGAACGTCTCTGTCCTGCTTCTTTGTTCAAATTTGAGTCATTACTTTCAATGTGCAAAATACAAAAATATTTTGGATTATAGGTAGATAAAGATGCTCTGATACAGAATCCTAACTAAACAGGGAAACAAATGCATCACAAAAGTATAATGAAGCTATCATATCCAACAGATAAAGAAGAAAGAGAGAGAATAAAAGGTGATCTAATTGATAAATTGTTATATGAATTATCTTCAGTATGATCATATGGATATAAATCTTAATGAGTATGCATATAGAGGGAAGAAACGATGTAAAGTGCAAAGAAGGCATAACATGACATGGAATAATGAAGTTGATAAACAAATAACCATGTGAAGACATTAATGATTTGCAACGACTTTTTTTGCCTAATCACTAAAGTTTTCTTTCTTTCTTTCTTTTTTCCTATTTTTGTATCAGTATTATTGTATTGCAACTTTAATGGATGAAGAAGCTTCTATTACATCACCATCCCAACCAGTTAGTGGAATGTAGCAAGGTGCTTCAACCCCTTTTCAAACACCAACCCTTCCAAGACCTAATGAAACACCAAATCCCAATAGACCCAATAAAGCTCCTGCCCCTAACCAAACTCTTCCTGTTCAATTATCTCATCCTGTGGTTCCTTCTTCTACTCCCACTCCCACACAAACAAATTCTATGAGACAAGAAACAAATGTTGAAAGAAGGCGTTCAAGAGAAAGGAAAGAGAATCTAAGCACACATCAGAGGTGTGGAAATATTTCATGAGATTGCTAACATAAGAAACTAATAGAGTGCACTTAACAGCTTGCGAGTATTGTCATACTACTTATAAGGTTGATCCAAACTGCCATGGGACAAATTCTTTGCTAAGACATATCCCAAAGTGTTCAAAGAATCCATATAAGACCACTACAGATAAAAAACAATCTGTTGACTCTTTTGTCGGGTAGGACAACTGGGCAAGGAAAATCTTTGGTTTCACATGTATATGATGAGAAGCAATGTAGAAGAGCTTTGGCTGAATTTATTATTTGTGATGAACAACCATTCAGAATTCTGGAGAAGCCTGTATTTAGGAAATTGTTAAATGAGTTTGAACTTCGCTTTCCAATCCCTTCAAGAACAACAATTGGAAGAGATGTGTGGCAATTATACCTTGGAGAAGTTAAAATATTGAAGAAATTCTTAAAACAAAGTGCAAAATGTGTCTGTCTCACCACAGATTTGCTGGACATCAAATCAGAGTTTTAACCGCCTATGCTTGATAGCACATTTTATTGATGATGAATGGAAGCTTCATAAAAGGATTCTAAATTTTGTTATGATTAAAAATCATAGAGGTGATACCACAGGGAGGACCATTAAGCAGTGCTTGTTGGATTGGGAGATTGAGAAAGTGTTCACCATAACTGTGGATAATGCCTCAGCTTTGTGATATCTTAAAATGTGTTTAAGGAGTTAGAAGGGCTTGCTTTGTGATGGTGATTATTTACAATTAAGGTGTTGTTCACACATCTTAAATTTGGTGGTTGATGAAGGTATTAAAGAAATGAAAGACAGCTTTGAAGCCATTCAAAGTGCTGTTAGATATGTTCGTTCTTCTCCTTCATGGTTGTTAAGATTCAAAACTTGGGCTGACACTGAAAAAATAGACACCAAAAGCCTTGTGTGCCTTGATGTAACCACCCGGTGGAATTCAACATACCTAATGTTAAAAGCTGCAATGAAATTTCAAAAAGTATTTGAGCAAATGCGTGATGAAGATGACGATTATATTTCATATTTCAGCTCAAACACAAGCTCTAGGCATGATGCTTCTAGTTCTGCTAGGCATGAGCGGGATAACTTTACTGGTCCTGTTATTGATGATTGGAATAATGCTCGAATCTTCATCAAGTTCTTAAAGGTCTTCTATGAGATAACATTGAAATTTTCAAGATCCCTTTCTATATCATCAAATGAATGTTTCCACCAGATTGCTCGTGTTCAGAAAATGTTGCAAAGGAATATCATGAATAATGCTAATAACTTCTTGAGAGAAATGAGCACTAGCATGCAAGTGAAGTATGACAAGTATTGGGGTCAAGCAGACAATATGAATCCTTTGCTTTTTGTGGCTGTCATTTTGGACCCTTGATATAAACTAGTATATGTGAATCATATATTTGATATTCTTTACACTGATCTTGAAATATGTTTAATTATGAAGGAGAGGGTTAAAGATTGTTTGTATCGGTTGTTTAATGAGTATTTTGCTGGGGTTTCTGTTGAATCAAGGGCTATCTCCACAAGTATATCAGGTGCAACTTTGTTGCCTTCTTTTGATGATGATGATGGTGGTGGTGAAGAGGATCTAGGTCATAAGTGGTTGGAATCTATGAAACAGAGAACCTCAAACTGAGTTAGATAGATATATAGCAACTGACTCGAGAGATGAAATCCCTTCTGCAACTGAGTTTGACATATTGTTATGGTGGAAAGCTAAGTCAGAAAAATATAGAATTCTCTCTCACATGGCACGAGATGTATTGGCTATACCAGTTTCTACGGTCGCTTTTGAGTCTGCCTTTAGCACTAAAGGACGTGTGGTTGCTCAGTAGGAGCTCTTTATCTTCTAAAATGACAGAAGAACTAATTTGTAGCCAAGATTGGCTACGACCTGGGCAATCAATGTTTGAATTTGTTGAAAAGCTTCACGATTTTGATAATTTTGATGAGACAGAAAATATCCTTCAACTTGCTAGTAATCCTTTTTTTCCTTGCCTGAACCTCTAACTTATATATATATATATATATATCTATTATATTACTTCATAATTTGTAATGTAATTGTTTTTTGATTTTTTTTCCCTAGATGCTACTACACTTGGAGGGGATAATTGAATGGCTATTGGTGATTGAATGGTCATTTTATAAGCATGACTAGCCATGTTGGTAAGGTGCATCTATTCATTCTTTAAAATTTAGAATTACATTTTTTTAATTGTTTTGTTTCTAATATGTTAAAGTTATAATTATTTTTATTTGTATTTTTTTAGGTGTTCCATCTTTTTGTGGAAATTGTGGAGAGTGATGCTGTTCGAACTTCAAAGCTTCAATTATAATATTGGCATTGTCTTGTTTTAAATGGATTATTGATGTTATTTAATTGGATAATTGTTAAGATTTGTTTTGGATGATTTCTGGATTATTTCACTTCTTTTGGATGATTTATGGATTATTTCACTTGTTCTGGATGATTTATGGATGATTTCATTTATTTTGGATGATTTATGGATGATTTTAATGTGTTAAAATGTAGAATTATAAAATGTAATTTTTAGGTGTGTATAGAATTTTTTTTCCCCCTTGTGACATGAGGGCAGGGCATCATTCTTTGGGCAATGAAGCCCGCCCTACCCAACCCTGCCCATACCCTATCCAAAATGATTCGGACATCTATAGACAGGACCGTTACAGCCCCCTCTTACTTCAGGCAGGGACCAACCCTACCCATCTGCACCCCTATGCCCAACTATTAACAGAAAAAATTATAATAAAAAATTGAAATTCAAGGAGATTTGGCCAATAAAGGTTGACGAAGAAGCAATTATCATCACCCACCCTTGTCACTCTCATTCATCTGTTTTTCACGATTTCATGCCACTCGCTCAAGATATATGTAGGCCATTTTTTTTTAAATTGTTATTAAAATACAATTATATATATTTATATGCTCATGCATTCGGTAGATTTGAACCGGTGACCTTTTTATTTAGAGGAGAATTTACATGTCAGTTATGACACCATGTTATTAACAATATATAAAGGCTAATTATGTGGAATTTGGAAAAAAAATTTAGAGAAAGAAAATTCCTGTACTAACTGTTTTGTGTACGTATAATGCTTATGATATGAATAGAGAGGCCATGGGTGTGAGGGACAGATGTAGAGAGGCCATGGTTATGAAGGTACAGATGAAGTGTGGAAATACACTAACTTCAATATTAAATATAAGAGTTATTAGACAAGATGTTTGCTTTGATTTTAAATATAAGACAAGATACCGTTTTATTTGTCAAATTTATAATTTTTTTTAAAACTCTATCAAGGGATATGCAGATGATTAGAAATATTATTCTAAAAAAATCAACACTTATTTCTTATAAATAATTAATTTAATTTTTTAATATATATAAAATAAGTTATCTAACTCTTAATACAAATGGAGTATTTTGTTAGCATTTGGATAAGGGGTGTATGCCGTGAGAAATATTATATTATTACAAATACTTATGTGACTCCAATTTTTTCAAGGCTAACCTTAAGAACCTAAAATTTGAACCTATTTATAGTCGTATGATATTTTAAAAGGACAATATTTATGTTAAATTTTTTGTATTTATCATCGTGTTAAGTTTTCTAATCACAATTGGTTATGTGTCATATTTTTTAAATATGATCATTTAATTATATACATATATGAGAAAAATAAAACATATGACCACGTGTGATTGAAAATCTTGATATATAATATATAAAAAACTTGACCTAAATATTTTTTATTTAGAAATTTTCTTACCATCATTAAATCTACATGCCAAATAAAGATTCACCGGTGATTCTATTGATTATCTTTTTCACGCACTAAACCTACTCCTAAAGCTTAATTGGCACTTTCTAACCCAATGACACCAAACAATTTTTTTTGAGTTACTCTTAAGCGTTGAGTACAAATTCTCTAGATCTAAAGCCCACACAATGGATGGTAACAAAACTTTAGTTACGACTCCTTTCCAACTCTCGTTCTCATTCCATTTTATATTCTGATTTTTTTGAAAAAAAAACCTTTCAACTTTCATTTTGGGCTCTCAAAACTTTTTTTTTAAAAAAAATTCTTCTAAGCCTTCAGAATAATTTAAGTTTTAAATTCTTTCATTTTACTTTGTCTGATGATAGATACAAGGATGATCCACTAATTTGCAAAGATAAAAAAAATTAGTTAAGTTATTAGTAAAAAAAATGTATGTTGGTATTTCTAAAATGTCCAATTAAAAACTACATGAAATCCTCTTTAATAGGTACTAGAGTTTATTAAAAAATTATAAATTTAGGAGTTTTACATTTAAAATTAAAAGCAAATGTTTTTGGGAGGTCAAAATGCGAAAGGATGAGTTACTACTAATAGTATTGACAGTGAATGCCTTGAGCTCAATCAAAAAATAAAAACAAATATTTTCGCGTGGTAGAACCAAATGGAGAATCCAGTGGCTCTTACCCGCGCAGAAGCGGGGCTCCAAAGCGCCAACCCGATAAAATAGCTGTTAAAGCGCCAATTTAAATTTGATTTCGTTAGTCTTTTTTCTGAGTCTTCCTTCTTCTTCCCCCTGAAATGCGATCTCGCTTCCTCAATATCGACTACTTCAGTCTCGCTCCATCCGAATCCAGAGAAACCCTAACCTTCCTCCATCTCCCTGTCCCTTGCCTCTCATTTCCTTCTCCCTCCACCGTTCAAGACCACCTGCGCTTCCATTCGACCCTCCACGCTTCCCTTCACATCGAGAGACTTCCGATTGATGATGCTCTCTCCAAGTTTCTGTCCGGCGTACTTCCTCACAGAATCGATGTTGATTTCCAATACTTTGAGGCAGACATGCCTTCCAATCACAATTGTTTATCATTATCCAGCTTTGGACTTGCTCAAGCTCCGATTTCTCAGGTAAGAAACTGATGCTTCTCTTTATCATATTGCCATATTTTATATCATATTTTCCGTTCGGAAGACCGGCGTTGATGGATTCTCGTGCTTCTTGATGTCGGAAAGTTTCATATGTGGAAAAATGAGTTTCGGTTTTATTTTAGTTGAAATAGATTTACGTGTTCTATTATTATTGGATTACTCGTTAATTTCGAATTTTTACTATTAAATAAAACCTGGTAAGGTATATCCTGAATACACCAATGCTTTTTGGTAATTTTGATTCCGCCGGCGCAGGAACCGGTTGCTGTATTCGAAGAGAATGCGATGGAGAACTGTCGAATTTTGGATTCTGGAGCTGATATTGGATTCTTAAACGTACAGGACTTACCTTCAAAGTGCTGGTGTTGTTTTACGTTCTTTGTCCCTGCATGTTGCTTTCCTGAAATTTTAATGAATTTGTTCTCAGGAGAGGAAAAGCACTGCTCTTATTGAAAAGAATGAAAGCATATGTGATATGACTCAATTTGAAACGCCTGAGCTGGATGTACTTCTGGTGAGATAGATATATGAAGCACCTGACTACCTGAGTATCTATCTTGTTATTGAATCTTTAAATTGAACATTTTCCTTTGTGTATTAAAGGGAAGTACCTGCTTTCCTGAGGAGGTGGTGATGCAAATACTGGATGAAACATCGGAGAATGACAATAATCTGGTAAATGCTTTATAACGCATCATAACTTATAAGAACCAAATGTTAATGCAATATGTATTTAAATTAAACGTATCCTTCCGAATTTAGTTTATTTGAATTATATTATTGAAAAATTCTATGACGTTTCTTCAGTGCTATAGGTAAATGACGTCAGAGATATTTTCTTATTCTTATGAGATGCATGATGTAGATGATATATTACTGGACAGATGATGTTCTCTGTAGTTTTTCTATATTTTAGGATTTTTAGCAATGTAATCTTCTTCAATACAAACTGGCCCACTAGCATACATTATTTATTGGAACTCCATAACCTAACCTTGGAACTGTTCTGCATGGTGGTGCGAACAATTCAATGCTAGGTTATGGAGTCGCAACTGCATTTCTGGAATAACGGTAAAAACAATCAATTCCTTTTGGTTTTATATGGCATTTGAAGCATAAATAATTTATCAGCCTTTTTTCTGTTTGTGTTTCCTTTTTTCGAAGTCAACAGCTGAATCGGAAGCAGTTACATAGAAGGAATTTGGTCATTGAATTAGATGATCCATACCTATAAAAATCTTTGATTTGAATTGCCAAATTGATGTAGGTTTGGAATCTTGCAGTGCTTCCCTATATAAAGTAGATTATAAATTGAAGTTTTACAGCTTACCTTTTACAATTTCTCTTCATAATATTATTATCACCAAGTTTAATACACGAGTCTGTTCTCCTTTCAGGAAATGCTCGAGTCTGGGCTCTCAATGCAATTTCCTTATGAGGTTCTGCATTCAATATCCGTAGTTGAGCATATTAGTTCAGAGTACTTCGGGGTCCAAAATACGTATTCCTTAGATGATTATATGTCTCTTCCAAATCTGCCGAAATCAGGTCAAAGAAAATTTACGATTCTCGAAGTTGATGAGGAAAGTCTGGGAATTTCGACGATCTCATGTATGGAGGAAAATGTGGGTTCATATTTTGATGACATTGGACCTCAACAAATGGATGAAACACTTCCTGTCATTGAGCCCAAGGAGATTTTGGGCGGTATGAACTATAACATTATGAACTTTCTTTCAGATGACTGTCTGTCACAGCAGAGTGTAGTATTACCTGACATACTTCAGGAAACGGACTTTATTAATATGTTGGAAACCGAAAACTTTCATGGGAATCCTTCCCTGACAGGGAAATCACAGTCAGATATGATTACTTTCCAGGAAATCCTGTTTACTGATGAGAATTCGATTCAGATACTTGAAAGCTTTTTTAACACAAAGTTGATGGATGATCCGGTAACAAGTGAGTTTATGTTTAAGAAAGATTTTAATTTCAAGAACTTTGATGAATTGATTATTGTTAATGAGATAGCACTAGTGGATGATGTATTCAAGCCACTGCCTGTACCTGCTCTCTCTGATCATGGAAAGATGAGATCTCTGTATGTATTCATTGAAGAAAGGCTTTCCAATTTGAAGACTCAACCCCAATCTGCATCTGACAGTATATACTTGGACTGGGATTTACTAGAAGAAAAAAGAAATTTCAATCTCTATCACTTTTTTCAGAACATGTGGGCCAAGAAAGAGCTGAACATCACAGTCTTTGGGGAAGAATCTTTCAATGACGGAAAATTAGTTTTTGATCTTGTTTCTCTGAGTGATGTCCTGGATGGATGCTGCATAGAACAAAGTGAAAGGTTGCAGAAGTTGCTTTCTGATCGTGCCTATCAGTCTGAGAATCATACCTTATGGGATTCAAGCAATCAATTGGATGGTGGATCTCCCAAGCAAGAAATTGGGGAACAGTTAGCTGCAAGAAATGCTGAGAGGGCTTCATTGTTGTTCAAATCTACATCAGAAGTCAGCCATCTTGATTATTTTTTAAACCCTCAGAAAGCAACTGCTAGGAGAAATTGTAGCTTAGCAGTGGAGTCTAACGATGCAGATGGTGGTGTCTTAAAGGCTACTTGCACCGACTTTAAGCATACGTGTAGGAACAATACTTTACAATCTCAAGGATGGAACATTGATTTCCACAATGTTCTGTTATCCGAAAGCATTCTGGCTTTACTTGGGAATTTTGAAAAATTTTACTGGGCCGTTTTGCAGAGTGAAACAGAACTGAACCAAAACTCATCCATGGATCATTTTCAATTGATTAAACTTCCAAAACACAAGCTTATGGAATTACATGAAAATGGCAAAAATATGGCATTTGTTGTGTTATGTGCAATAAAACAGGCTGCTTGGTACTTGTGTTTCTATGGCCTACGTCCAGCTAGCTTGTACATAGACGAGTTATGTCAAAGCTTGGACTACTTGAAATTAAGATTTAGCTTCCTCCAATCCTTGATTAAGGATGAAAACAAGAAGATTGGTGACAAAATTACTCTAGCACATCCTGCACTAGCTGTTTTTGACAAAATTTTGCGGTCAAACATCAAACGGGATGGTTTGAAAGTGTTGATTGTGACTGAAGAAGTTTTCTGGTGGTCACTGAAATGTCTTCTTATCTCCATAGGATTATCATTTAAAGAATTCCATAATACTCATGCAAATCAGCCATCTGCTTATGATACGGTTGAGGACACCGATTCAAAATTGAAAAACCTTGTGAATTCCAGCTGCTTGATTGTATCATACAAGTAAGTTATGTTTTCAGAATACTTAGCATTTATTATGCATGCATGCAAGAAAATACACCATTTCCTTCTCTTTTAGCAGTTAAAATGACATGGTAATTAAATATTATATTGTTTTCTTATATTAAAAATACAAATTAAAAAGTTATTTATGAACTTCCTTGTCATTGTTATTGTTTGTGCTGAAAATCTTGAATCTAATTTATTCTGCATTGATAAAAATGACTATTTATCTTAGTCAAACAAATATTTAATACTCGCTATATTATATGGATGATAAATGAAGTTATTTTGATAAAATTAGGTTAATTATAACTTTATTGCATGAGATGTTGGGAAAACACTTCTAGTAAGTAGAAGAGTGGGTTGTTCCACGAAAAGGAAAACAAAAAAGAAAAAGGAAGGGCGGGTTGTATAATTTGGATAGCTCTGAAAGAAAGACGGTAGTTACGCTTTAACTTATTCTAATAATGAGACCTAATATACCTCTTTTTTCTTTTCTTTTATTTTTTTCAAAAACTGTTTTACCCCCTTGACCAAACAATATACCTCTGTCTGGATGACTCTAAGGATTATAGATTATTTTTATGACTAATTTTTCTTCTCCTTTTGTCTTCAAATCTTGTTCCCAAACTCTTTCCATCCTTTTTAAATTGACATACCTTAAGGTGAAAATCAGTATATCGTCAACATGATCCATACCTTAAGGCTCTCTGAACTGCAATTAGTGCTAGACCTCATGGTTTGTTTCCTTGTAATTCTGGGAAATTATATAGAACCGATAGATCCCTTATCATTATTAATTTTTTTCATCTTCCAAGCTTTGAAGTTTAGGTGAAAATAATTGAAATCAGAATATTTTTACTTAAAGTTACTGCTGGAGTGCACGCACCCTAATTTCCCTTCTATGAAATCTTCATTTCCACTTTGGCCGGCTATTCTTTAGCACTTCGGTTCTGATTTCCTTGTAGACATCCTATTTACAAACTATAAGCGCTCTTCCACCTTAGTCCGATGGCTTTCAGAAGGCATTGACTGCCTTTTTTAGCAAGTTAAGTCTGCTCAGACCTCAGGCTTCGATGATGTGGAAATTCACATCTCTTTATGTCTCTAGATGTAAGAGTTCTTTTGAATTCATTTTCAATAAGGTGTTCAATAAATGTGATCACCAGCGGAATTGGTCAGGCTTATAATCGGAATGCAAAGCTATTAATTGGTTCACATAAAAGAAAATTTAGAAAAATAATACAACAACAACTATAAGCCTTATACCACTAAGTGGGGTCAGCTATATAGATCATATGACACCATTGTGCTCTATCCACAATCAAATCTTTAGATAAGTTGTTAACTAAAAGGTCCCATTTGATGACCTTATTGAGTATTCTTTTCAGTCTTCCTCTATCTCTTTTTAAAAGACTCCAAACTGTCTGATCTACTCTTTTCACTGGTACTTCCACTGGCCTTCTCTACACATGTCCATATCATCTCAAAAGATGGTCAGCCATTTTCTCTTTGATAGACGCCATGCCTACTCTTCCTTTGATATTATGATTTTGAATCCTATCTTTCTTTGTATTACCACACTTCTTTAACATCTTCATTTCCACTACATCAACTTTATGTTTTTGTTTTCCCTTTAGAGCCCAACATTTACTATCATATAACATGGCTGGTTTTATTGTGGTCCAATAGAATTTTTCCTTTAAGCTTATCAAGTATCTTCTTATCACAAATAACTCCAGTAGCCTTTCTCCACTTGAAACACGCAGCTTGTATTCTATGTGAAATGTTCCCACAATTTTACCATTCTCATGTATAATGGATCCCAGATACTTGAACTTTGCCACTTGAAAAAATAATAAAACAATAAAAAATATTATAGTCCTATACTTAAAAATATGTGTAAGAGACAGAATTTATAAACATGATATCTCTTCAAATGTAGCATAGAAGAAAAACATTGGCAAGAATCGTGGTCCTTGTTCTATGGCTTACTGGCCATCTGTGTTTAATTGTTTTCCTCAACCATCTTTGCTTTAGAAGTTTTGCACGATAAATAACTTGTTTAAAGTATAAGCATTGGTTACCAGGGCTTCAGACGTATATGTTAGCTAGAAATTTTGTCGTCTAGAAAAAGACACAGGTGACTAATATATTATGGAGCAACAATAACCAAAAAGGAATGTGAATGTGAGGGTGTTTTTTAATGACATAGATTTCATATTAGCCTGCTTCAATTTAATTTGTCACATGCTTATTGTGAGCGTTATACATTATAAATGATATTTTATTGTTGCAATTTTATGCCGTTATAGTAATTTCTCCCTTTAACTGAAGGCATATTTCTCCATTCTTCCCATTCAACAAATTCGGCATTATTTTGGAATATGGAGGTCCATTTGGTTCGTCTAGAATATCTAATCTGTTACCAAACTCTACTGGGTTGCCTCATCTTCACTTTCTTAAGGTGGAGCTGGATGTCCACTCTGCTGTCAAAGCACTTTGTGAGGGCGTTGAAATTCCGCTGCCTGCTGAAATGTCAATGGTAGGTCAATGCTTAACCCTACGTAGCTTACTTTGCTACAAATTATCATGTATTGTGCGAAATGGGTTCTCAAACGTCAAACCATTTTGTCAAAATTGTGCAAATCTACGCTTGAGCATGCATTGCTTACTTTGCCTGAGCTTGAATAGCTAAAAATGACCAATAAATTCAAATTTGTGACTAAGTTTTTAGGATACAGTCTATCCATGCTTGACACCAATCAGGAAATCAAATGCACATTTCACCTTTTCATTGGATTAAGCTGTATCAGTTGCTGTTGCTCATAATTCTTAGTACACAAGTTGTTTATTACTCCTTCCAGTCCCAAATGTAGGAGTTAGATAATTAATTTATACAGATTAAGGAAATCAGTTAAGTTATCTGAAAATTTTTGTTGGTGCTTTCACTAAAATATCTCTCATTTTAATCATTTGCATTAGAAACTACCTTTGTGCAATCAACAGGGACAGTTTGGAAGCAAAATAATTAATGAGACACAAAGGAAATTGAGATCTTGCATCCAGGACTAAATAAGCTCCTGAATTAGCTCTACATTTAAGATTGCTAGGAATATTCAATTTTTAAGCGTATATTAGTAATCTTTTACCCTTTAATGATTATTGTCCTAGGAAGATGGGACCCATAGTATCATCAACCCCAGCAAAAGAATGATGGATCCCAAACTGGAAAAGCTATTGAGTTTTTGTCCTTTGGAGAAAAACTATGGTATAGGGTTTTCAAAGAAGGCAGATAATGTAGAGTGTTCCGTGCCTCCGCTTTCTTCTGGGCAGCCTGAACAAAGTCATCAAAGCATGGAGTCTTTACCTGAAACGCTTATCATTGTGAATACTCAAAATGTTGATAAAGAAATGATAGCGTCCAGAAGAAGCACATATCAAGCAATTCTTGCAATGGAGAAACGAGGCATTCAAGTTGTTGAACGTGATTTAGATTTACCAGTGGATGTCATTATCAATTCAGCAATTTGCTTGGTATGGTATGATTATAAAAACATTGGGAAGAAAGCAACTCCAGCAACTGAAGCTTCTTCTAGCTTGCCTTTATGTACTGAAAATGTTGCGGCAAATATTTTGACACTGATAAGCTTTTCCTTTGATGGCTGCTTTTTGGTAAGTACAATTTTCTTAATATTTATTGTAGCAATATCTAGTCTTTTTTTGGAAAAAACTTTCTACAGTGTACTGTAGCGTCGAGTAGAAGAGCTCAAGAATTATGGACTTGAGGTCTGCTATATGGATTCTTTATGACCTGCTTCAAACATGACTAATGGGGGACTAGCTTCCGCTCAGCCGTTTTGATGCTTCATTCGAATTCCTAGTAAATTTGATGTGGCAAGCTTGTCAACCTAGTCTAAAGCTCATAAAATGGGGAAGAAAGGGATTTCTGTTTTTAAGGATACTTCAGCAGTATCTCTCTAAGTCTACAAAAGGAAAACCCTTCCTTCTACTTCACTAACACGCTATAGCCTGTTTTTCTTATGCAAGTTCTATTGGGTTGGGAAAAGTTGTCATATTTTGGTCCTTTTCATTGGTTGAGTGATAAGTTGGTTTCATACTACTTCCTGAGGCAATTCGGTCATTAATCTTTATGAACTTGATTAAATTCTTTAACTGTATCCAGAGTGCTCCCCTGTTATTTTCATAAACATACTTGTGAGTGTTATCCATATCAGTACACCTGCCAGGCTAGGTTAGTATGGCATTTTATATGCTTGGAAGATAATTAGCACTTAACACACGGGAGATGCAAGAACTTTGCTGATCATGTTGTAGATGATGAGAAGCAAACAATGGCTCCAAAATAATGGATGAAAATATGATTAACTAATATGCAAGTTGTCGTGCAGGTTGTTGTTGTTGTTGTTGTTGTTGTTATTTTGCAGTTAATTGATCTCAACTCATTGTTCCCAATTTAGGTTTTTGAGGGAGAAATTAACTTTATTTCAACCATAATGGAATCTTCAGATGGACTTTATGCTGCTGCAGCAAGCCTGGGAATTGATTTGCAGATCTTCTTCTCTTACTCACCAGAGTTCACAAATGAAATTATAATAAGCTGCATCAATTATGCTACCAAGTTGACTAGGGGTCTGTATCCTAAAATGTCTGATTCACTAACATTGGCTGAGTCATTTTTAACTAAATTTCCAACAATAAATCCTTTGGTGGCACATGCTATACTGTCTACAGGGGCCACACTAACCGAGATTCTTGGGTGGTCGCATGAGCACAGGATAAATGTTTTGGAAAGATATCATGTTCCTGAAGAAAGCGTTGCGCTATTTGGCGCTCTCTGCAAATATGGGGAGCGGGAGGATTCAAAGTCCATAATGACAGATTGCTCCTCTTCTGTATCTTCTGGCCCAGATTCAGATAAATATCACTTGAATCAAGTCGATTATGAAAGAAAAAGGAAAAAGCACGCAGAGAGTTCTGAAGAATTCGGACCATTTTCAGATGAATTATTGCAGTTTGAGCCACTACATCAAGAAGCTGATGGTTTCTTGGATTCTTCTAATCTTTCCAAACCTAGTATCCCTGATCAATCAAATTATTCTGGAAGATCCAATGACTCGACAAGGCAAGGGTTCAATATGACCACTCCAATGAAAACCCCAGCCAGAGCATCCCAGCCATCTTGTGATCCTTGGAGCTATAAAGCTCCCCTAATATTGGAGCAGAAACAACAGCCATCTTTTTCTTTTAAAGATGAAGGGTTGGTTCCTAATGATACATTGGATACTGCTAGGATGAGCAAAAATTTGACCTGGCAAGGCCTTAATTTTTCCGAGAAGCTGGATGAGGACATTACAGGCGAGGTTGTTGACTTTACTGAGGATCTCCTACTAAATAAAAAATTCTCTTTCATTGCTAACTCGAGGAATTTTCCTGGTGTCGACTTCATGAACTCTCCAGATTTCCTGCCTCAGACAGAGAATAGTATTGTGAGAAGATTGTCCTTTGATCAGATGACTCAGCCTGGGTTTAAAGATATCTGGAATTCTTCACATGATACAAGAGGTGAAGTTAACAATAACCCAGAACCAAATTTTGGAATGAAGATCTCTCCTCTTGATGCTAAGTACCGTGGAAAGAATTCTAATGAGGATTTGACTCCGGCATACAAGAGAACCCTACATGGATCACCCTTCCAAGAGGAGATGTCACAATTGAGTGGAAGAACTCCACTTTCACGTGCTCTTCATTCAACTACTCCATTAAAAAACTCACCTTGGACAATAGAATTTATCAACAGAATCAAAGAAAAGAGCAGAATACGTCAAAAAGCATTATCATGTGACAAGTCTGTCTCTTGTTTTGAGTACTCAGGCAGTACATCGGAAGTTGCTACTAGAAGACACCCTCCTCCTCCTCCTCCGCCTGAGTCCTTTGCATATCAAGGAAGTAGAACTGAAAACGCTCCCAAACAGAAGAGACAGAAGCAATGTGCAGAACCTTTGAAGTCAGCCAAGAATCGGAAACTTTCTGCCTCATTACTTCCTACATGGACACCTAATGACAAGAGAGCAACAAAGGTATGTCCACATTCTCTTCTTCATCGTAATGGTCAAGTAAGTGCAAAATTACATCCTCAATTTCATAACTGCAAAACGCCAGTGCAACTAAAATTCTTCATGGTTTGCTTATGTCTGAACTAATGCAATAAACGAGGTCAAAAATAAACAAAGAATCACTGCAGGTGGGAGACTTACATATAATGCAGTGTGGTAGCCTTAGTAGATATGTATAACTATGGGCTAACAGCTAAGTCCTGAGAATTTGAGGATTTCAATTAGTTAAGAAACAAACAATTTCTCCTACGCTTCTGCTGTTATTGATACGGAACAGGAAGGGGAATTAAATCAAACAATATCAAAAAGCACATTGAAATTTCTTATGAATATTTAAAAAGTATGATATTGGAATTCCTAAACTGATCTCTAAACAAGCAACTCAATTCCCCTTAATCATATTTGGTCAAAACTTAAAAAACGCAGAATGTAGAATTGTAAAACTGCCTATGGTATAAGCTTTGATTGTTGGCCAAAAAAAAAAAAGCGTTAATTCTCTAATAAATTTCATACAACATGAATTGTGCAACTGTGCAAGCAATTTTGTTTAATAAAGTAATTCATGTAAAATCGTTAAATTGGTTCTTCATTAACACCTCTAAAAGTAATTCATGTCAAATCGCTAAGTTGGTACTGTGCAATTAATTCATTAACACCTCTAAAAGGGATATGAATTCAGATATTATAACGAAATTCACACATTGTTCTGATTAATAATTAGTATTTTAGATTGAAACTTTTCTGCTGATATTTGTCTACACACAAATGTAAATCTCTTCAAGCAGCTATTATTACTTGTTCAAGGCTTGGCGTTTTTTACTGCTAGAAATTGACATATGGTCAATCGCAGATGCTGACTTTTGCTATGAATGAAAGTCAAGGTCAAGCTAAGTTGGTCTGGAACGACGAAACTCAAGGTCAAGCCAAGAAGTTTCGGTATCAGACACAAAAGTCAATCTAGGCTTCGTGTGGAAAATGGAGATTTTATATTATGCGGAAACTGGGTGTACTTTTTTTTTGGTGAGTACATGTACAACTTCAATATGTAGTTATGTATCGAGAAATTAAAAATGTAGTTATTAGTTACAATGGCCTTTGGCTGTGGCCGACTTAATAAGAAATTTGCCTTCTAAAATTAGTGCTATATATTCCGTGGTGCTTTTTTCGGTGGTTGTCTTTTCTCTCCCATAAGAATTCTGGATCATTAAGTTTTAATAGTCTAACTTAAATTTATTAAAATGTTTTCATCTTGATAATATTTTTCAATACTACTTTGATATTTAGTATAAGATCTAGTTTGTACTAGTAATTTAAATTGAACTCCAAACTACATTATATATTAAAGATAAGACGTGGCATTAATTGTTGGTTATCTAGAAGCTATATTAATGGTCCATTTATTAGTATTGAGACAAGACATTCGACATGAGGGATGGGATAAATAAGATTTAATTTATAAATATTGTTCAAAATTATTAAGTTTTACATTGTACTTAATTTTAGGCAAAAAAAAAATTGCAATTCAGATTGATTCAACATTTAACATGGTCTGTTTTGGCTTCGAGCTATCACAGTTTGATCTGAGCCTCTATGTTCCTTTTCCCCATTTATTCAAAATATGACCAAAAATTTCAAACTTTTTTTAACCAAAAAAAAAATCTGTTCATCTGAATATTTGCCCAGTTGGCCAAACCAGTTCATCGTAGACTACTTCAAAATCAGGTCAGGCTACTGATGGGAGTTAGGTCTAGTAAAAGAGACTAGTCTCTCACAACGTGGGGGATCAAGATTCAAATTTTTACTGGGAGAGGTGCCCACACTTAGTGTACGACAATACCTCGAATAGGATTGCCTCTAACAAGAGGATATCTGTGTTTTAACCAAAAAAAAAAAATCAGGTCAGGCTACTAAAAACTGGCCAAGCGCCGGGTTGAAGTGAAACCGAAGTTGATCTTATTTGGGTACATTAGAATCAAGTTAGGCCTTAAGATTGGTTCATTTTATGCACGGATTCGGTACATGCATGGCAGCGTGAGTTGATTTGGAGTCAAGTGAGAGTAAGATGGAACAACGAACCATTTAATTCCCACGCAACACACGTTGAAAAACACTAAGAAATCCAAATAATAACTAGCTTTTAACTAGCAAGTTTAGATCTAGCAGAAAGGATTAGTCCCTCGTAACATGACGAATTAAGGTTCAAATCCTTATTAAAAGAGATGCTCATATTTAATATCTAACAGTACTTCAAATATAATTGTCTCCAAAAGAGAATATTTGTGTTTAGAAAAAAAACAAAAAAACAAAAACAAGACAGCAAGCCTTTATTCTTCTAAATGGATTTGAGTACGTAGATCCCATAACACTGTTGTAATCTATCAATAACTAAATATTTAAATAACTTGTCAATCAAAATGTCCCAATCTATTTCAGGCCCCAAAAAAAAGGTTAGTGTTATAACGATCTGACAGAACTTTCCTTTAGTTGGGGAAAAAACATATGCATCAATACCAATAACGTAGCCTGTGAAATGTGATTAAAACAAAGAAAATTGCAACAAAAGAAAACATGAAAATTGTAAAATTACAAATCAGATTCGTTACAAGACTTGTATAGGTTTTGACAAAATGTCAAATGACAACAAATTTTTTACAAAAATCTGATTTACAATTTTGCAATTTTCAGTCCCTTTTTTTAAACAATTTTTCCTCTTAAAACGTGCTACCTTCAATATAAATTTTAGCGAAAGTAAAAGAACTTGAGGTCAAAACAAAAAGCAAAAGTTTAACAATTTGCTAATAAAAGAAAAGGCACCTTTTTAGAACATAAAAATAAGAAAATTTTACGTATAATTTTAGCGCACAAAAAATGTATGACTTAAGTTTTTATTGTTAAATTTATACAGGATTTATAACAGATGAAAAATGTTTTAGCCATACACATACAATTTTTTATAAAAAAAAAAAAGTTAAAGTATAGCCACCTAAAACTAATTCAAATAGTAACATTTCAGGGACAACATCCGAATTAGAATTAATACTATTATTTTCCTTACAATTTAGTCGAATTTTAGTTTTCGTTCCCATAATTTTAAATCGTGGTTTTTTTTAAATTCCTATAGTCTCTTCCTTCCAAAAATATTAATCTCTATAATTTAATGTATTAACATTTCTGTCATCCGAGAAAAATTATAAAGTGAGAAACTTTTCAAGTGAGCACCGTAGGTCCGCAAGGGAAATGCACAAATATAGTAATTTGCTCAGTCTCTTTTATATAGTAGAGTTTTCAAATATGGTATATCATATTTGTCTTTAATTTGACCAGATTCTTTTTCTGGCCAATCCAGTTTGACCAAATGATTAATCATTTACTATGTTGTCAATATCAAACTCCAATGTTGGGCGTTTGCACAGTTTTTTTTTTTTTGGCAAGATATATATCTTTCTATTAGATATAACTCTGTTCGAATCATTAAGGGGAGAATTTCAGTTAAGGACCGTAGAAGACAATTTATATCAATCAAGGACCAAAACTTTCTGAAATTTCACCGCAGGACCAAGGGATCAAATTGAAATTAAAATTTAGAGTGAGATTTGTTAGAAACAATCTCACCCAAGAGGGGGGTGAATTGGGTGAGTTACAAAAAAAAATTTAAAATTAAAAGCGTGCAAGTATTGAACAGAAACAGAGAGTCAGAGTAAGGAGAATTTTAACCGCAGAGAGGAGACACAAGATTTATACTGGTTCGGTCTAAACCACGTGACCTACTTCCAGTCCCCAGAACACCTCTGAGTGTTTCACTATCTTCCAAGATCGACAGGGCTCTTGGTGCCTCGGTACAGTAATTGAATCGCTCAATCACTCCCCCTTACTCCCGTAAGGATACAACCCCTCTCAAGAGTCCACACTCTTGAGTGTCTCTCAAGTTTTTAATAAAAGTAGTGAATGGCTCTCTTACAGAGTGAATTCAATGATAAACACTGATGCTCAGTAGTAACGTGAAAAACAGAGTATTGAATGCGTAACTAAACAATCGCAGGTGGTAGTTCAGGTATTCAATCTCTTCATTAATGCTTCTTCGCGCCTTTTATAGTTGATACCGTTAAGTAGCCGTTAGACGGAAGAGCTTCTAGCCGTTGTGACTTCGTTTGCGTGTTTCGCTGGTTTCAACGGCTCCGCCATTAATGCGTCTGAGTTTCTGACACTGTAGGTCGCAGTCTACGTAATCCCGTTGAAGAGCCGTTGCACTCGTTTTCATTAATCTGCATATTTTAAGATTCGAACAAATGAGAGTTTTGTGGTGAGTGCTTTAATCTTGAACAAAAAGAAGGCTAATTTATCATTCAAGGATTTGTGACGAAATCATTTATCAGCAAGAAGAACAGAGTGTCATTCCGGTTTAGTTTGATCGAAAAAGTGATCGATTACTTGATGATAGATCAAGTTATCGATAAACGGAATGAAGACTTTTCGAAATAGATCACCAAAATTATCGATCAAGTGTTGGATCATTGACTCTAAGATTTATCATAGAAAGAGGAAATCGTTTCATGATCGAACAATTGATCGAACACAAATTTGATCGAACAGATTATCGATAATTCAAATGTTATTGAAATGAAGCTTCAGTCATTGATGATCGAACATCTTATCGATAAATGTATGATGGATAATATTATCGATAAAACATGGTTATGTAAATAATCAATGAAAGACACAGGCTATCTGAAATGATCGAACAGTTGATCGATCATTGATCATTCGAACAAGTGATCGATAATGGTGAAGGAAGAAGTTTAATGTAAAGGAAATGATTATCGATCACGTTTTGTGAAACCATGAAATCCGAGGAATTGAATGATCGATCACATTATCGAAAAACCAGTGATCGATAACTTGATCGAAAAATAGTTCACCATAACTTAATGCGAATATGTCAATTTTTAGACTCTTTATCGATCACGTTATGTGAAAACTTATTTAAGCAAACAAGTTAAACTTATCGATAATGTTATCGATAATTTAGTTGTAACAAAACTGAGTAAGAGTGGGTAAGGACATTGATTATCGATCATGTGATCGATAATTTTATGATCAATAAGGTTATCGATCCATCAGTGAATTTGATCACCTGCATTCAGAGAGTTAGAGCATAAAGTTCGAACACGTAATCGATAAACAAATGGTCGGTAATATGATCGATAAATTTGTAACAGAACTAATGTGCAGAACAAGTAGATTGTGTTACCTTTTATCGAGGTCGTTATTGATGACTGATTTATCGATAACTTGATCGATAAATACACTTCAGATTTGGGTCTCTGATTGTTTACCTGATATTATCGATCAGCTTATCGATAATTTACCATACTCTTATGTGATTTTTACGATAGTGATTATCGATCACTTTATCGATAAATTACTCATCGAATAGTTCTTCGATCAAAAAGACTACTATAGACCTGATTTACACTTGATCATTTATCTGAAACCTTAGCGATAACCGATTGCTCGATCAGTTGATCGATCAAAATACTTAACCCTGATATTCTGACTTTGTTATCATCAAAACTATAATCCTAACAAGATTACCATAATACCCCTCCCTTTTTATTTTATTAAAAAAATAAATATTAATCGGAGATATTGTTCTGGCTACCGGAAGTCGGAGGTTCAGCCACCGGCACTCAGGTGGCACACCAAAAGGCTTACAACCACCAAGCCAAGCAACCCATTCAAACATAAGATGCAAATAAAAATACATATAACAAAACAAACGCAACTGTTTGAGTGTAAACGAATAAGTCAAATTAGACGATTTACAAGTAGAATTCAACAATTTACAACAAAAATTAGGTAATCTACAAATAACATAATAGAAGTCATAATCCCAAATGCAAGTGTTTAAGTACAAATGAACAAGTGAAATTTGAAGATTTACAACAAAAGTTTATGGATTTACAACCCAAATTTGGCAAACACAAGAGAATTCACAACCCAAAATGTAAGTGTTTGAGTGTAAGTGAACAAGTAAAATTCGACGATTTACAAGTGGAATTCAACAATTTACAACAAAAATTAGGCAATTTACAAATAACATAATCGAAGTCATAACCCCAAATGCAAGTGTTTAAGTGCAAATGAGCAAGTGAAATTCTCTTGCAAATCTATAAACTTTTGTTGTAAATCTTCAAATTTCATTTGCTCATTTACACTTAAACACTTGTATTTAGGATTGTTAGTTTCATTATGTTATTTGTAAATTTCCTAATTTTTGTTGTAAATTGTCGAATTTCACTTGCAAATCTATAAACTTTTGTTGTAAATCTTCAAATTTCACTTGCTCATTTACATTTAAACACTTGCATTTGAGGTTATGATTTCGATTATGTTATTTGTAATTTGCCTAATTTTTGTTGTAAATTGCTGAATTCCACTTGTAAATTGTCGAATTTCACTTGTTCACTTACACTAAAACATTTACATTTTGGGTTGTGAATTCTCTTGTGTTTGTCAAATTTGGGTTGTAAATCCATAAACTTTTGTGGTAAATTTTCAAATTTCACTTGCTCATTTGCACTTAAACACTTGCATTTGGGGTTATGACTTCAATTATGTTATTTGTAAATTGCCTAATTTTTGTTGTAAATTGCTGAATTCTACTTGTAAATCATCGAATTTCACTGGTTCACTTACACTCATACACTTACATTTTGGGTTGTGAATTCTCTTGTGTTTGCTAAATTTGGGTTGTAAATCTATAAAATTTTGTTGTAAATCTTCAAATTTCACTTGCTCATTTGCACTTAAACACTTGCATTTGGGATTATGACTTCTATTATGTTATTTGTATATTACCTAATTTTTGTTGTAAATTGCTTAATTCTACTTGTAAATCGTTGAATTTCATGTGTTTGTCAAATTTAGGTTGTAGATCCATAAACTTTTGTTGTAAATCTTCAAATTTCACTTGCTCATTTGCACTTAAACACTTGCATTTGGGATTATGACTTCTATTATGTTATTTGTAGATTACCTATTTTTTGTTGTAAATTGCTAAATTCTACTTGTAAATCGTCGAATTTCACTTGTTCACTTACACTCAAACACTTACATTTTGGGTTGTGAATTCTCTTGTGTTTGCCAAATTTGGGTTGTAAATCCATAAACTTTTGTTGTAAATCTTCAAATTTCACTTGCTCATTTGCACTTAAACACTTGCATTTGAGATTATGACTTCTATTATGTTATTTATAGATTATCTAATTTTTGTTGTAAATTGTTGAATTCCACTTATAATCGTCTAATTTGACTTGTTCACTTACACTCAAACAATTGCGTTTGTTTTGTTATATGTATTTTTATTTGCATTTTATGTTTGAATGGGTTGCTTGGCTTGGTGGTTGCCAACCTTTTGGTGTGTCAAGGGGTCATGGGTTCAAACCCTCCCTTAGCCATTTTGTTTTAAACAAAAAAAATTTCGGCCACCAGAAGCCAACCGGCGCTACTGTTCCGACCACCGATGGCCGGACTCCTGGCAGCGGCTACCTGAGCACCGATGGCCGGAACAATATCTCCAGTTAATATTTATTTTTTAGTAAAATAAAAAGGGAGGGATATTATTGTAATTCCACTCTAAATTTTAATTTCAATTTGATTCTTTGGTCCTGCAATGAAATTTCAAAAAGTTTTGATCCTTGATTGATATAAATTGTCTTCTGCGGTCTTTAACTAAAATTCTCTCATCATTAAATGTGATCATCTCTTCCAATAAAAATTCAAATATTAATTGATCACGTTACAAGAAATAGTCACTTTCACTAGACTTAACACCTGGTGATTTGTGCATTAACACTTTCATCATGATGGACTATGACCAGAGGTAATCAAAATCACGGCTAAACAAATCTTGATAGGTGAGAGATTCGTTGACGTTTAAACACCCCCACACACACACATCGTAATATTGAAAGTATAACGTATTCAAAAAATGGAATTGAGTGTAAAGTTACAATGTACACTCAGTTGTATTCTTTATCACTCCCTATTTGAATACATAGATACATGAATATATATGAGCCAACTTGGATAAAAATTAACTGGAGAGCAAAGTACTGGTTAAAAGGTTGCTTCGACCACCCTGGTTCTCATTTCCTATCTTTTTCATATCCCATGTATGTCTATGGGATGCAACATTGGAAAGGATCCTAGTTCTTCTTTCCATTTTTGAGATTCCGTACAGCCATAACAAGCTGTTGTCTTTCACCTTCTACCTCGGCAAATTTCAGACTAATCTCTGAGTATCTATCTTCCATCTCTTTCAGCTCTTTTTCCATATTTTTGTTCCTGTCCTTTAGCATCGCTACTTCGTCCATCAGTTTACTCGTATTGCGCCCACCATTTTGATTATCATGGAAGCAAGTTCGTGATTCACTGTTAGAAGTTCAAAAAAAAAAGAAGAAGAAGAAGATGAAATTAATTAAAAACACATGCCTCAATGAGATGCTAGTATAAATATATATATTTGACATTCGGGACACAAGGTGTGCAAATTTTACTGCGAGGGTGATAATGGTACAGGATTAACGGTAAGTTATACAAGGGGTACTAGGGATTCAGATAGAAATTTAGTTTTTACCTTCTGTTTGGTGCTCCACTAACTTCACCGCCTGCTGACTTGCCAGCTGTTCCTTTTTCTTCAGACTTGCCATTAGGGGCGCTTGTAGCATTTGTTCCCTTTAAGAAAATAAAATCAATCTGAATTAATCTACTGAACAGATAAGGGTAGAGAAATGTTGAAGAGACTTCAACCAGATAATTCCTTTCAACTCTAATTCCAGTTCTATGAGATCATCATTCTCTACCTGTTCATCTATAGTTGTATCAGTGTTTAAGAGGCCGAATAACTGATTTGAAAGCTTTTATCTGAATATGAGTTGCTGTATGTTTCAAGTTAATTTGGAGCTGATTTTCAACGCACTTTTTTTTTTTTTTGGGCCAATGATTTTCAACGCACTTTGATTTAAAATTATGCTAGTTGTAACATGATTACACATAATATGATAGATAATATCACATAAATATAAGCAGAAAATTTATCTCTTCCAGTTGAATTATATTTCAGTTAAATGTAGCCTAATGCTTTTAGTTGTGGAAAGACTACAATGTGATTATGATGCAGTTATGCAGATGATCTTTCATTTCCTTGTTTGCAGATTAGTAAAACAATGTAGTCCTGTAAAGTAGGACAGAATGACCGCAAAATAAGTGAGAAATGAAAAGCTAATGTTAACTTGGAAGAAGCCTTGATTCACTAGCTTAGAAAATAGTCTAAATAAAGTAGCAGCTGATAAATTTAGTCAAATACTGGCATCAGTTCTTAAGTACTGCCCAACCGATTCTAACTTTTTTTTGCAGTAAAGTTTCAATAGTTCCCACCAAAAGTTTTTTCTTGCTTTGCAGTATAATGATTTAGATTTTATAAAATCTGACGACTATGGATACAATATAAGCTTGACTTTCTTCTTTAATGGGTAGCATGTACTCGTAGGAATGGCTCTATAATATAATCTGGTTTCCTACCACACATTTCTCGTTTTAGTTGTTCATTTAAAGTCCGCCAATTAAGTTGGAAAATTACCTTAAGTGTTTCTGATTTTGTCTTCTTGGTGGATGCCTTTGTGGAAGATGGCGCTGCAGCACACTCATCTTTGGAATCCAAATTCACATGTGCAGCCGGAACTCGTCCTTTGTTGCTTTTGATCTTCTTTTCCATAATGTTTAATTCTGCTTCCTTCTTCTTCATCTCTCCTTGTAGTTGAGATATCTTGTTCTTCATATTCTCTTTCTCTACCTGTTCATTGTGCATGTTATGTTTTAATTTGTCATGTTGCATCTTGAAGATTTGTAATTCTGAAAGCAAGGCATTAAGCGGGAACTCCTTCTCCAGATCATTTATTTCTCTGTGCTCTTCTTGCTTTGTAATCACAGTCCCATTCTCCATTGACTTGGACAATTTATTCTCCCCTGCCATCAGCTTTTTAATTTCAGATCTGAGCATTTGCATTTGAACAGAGAAAGCCTCATCTTTCTCCTTCCTATGCCTTTGTGCTTCTTCAAGCTGTTTAGATTTGTTTTCTAGTTCTTCTGACATTTGTTCCATTTCTTTTTCTTTCAAGTTTATTTGGTTTAAGAGCTCTTGATGTTTCAACTCATTCTGATCTGTGATAAGCCTGAGCTCCTGGTTGCACTTCTGGAGCATTTCTTCCATTAGTTTGTTCTGCTGTCGAAATTCATCAACTTCTGCAACTGCTCTCTTTGTCGTCTTTTCATTTTCCTCAATTTTGGATGACATTTCAACTGAAAGCATTCTATATTCCTCCTCAAAGCGTTCAGATGCGATAGCATTATTTTGTCTTGTCTTTTTCAAGGCCTCCTCAAATTGTTTTGCCCGTTCTTCCTGTTCAATTTTTTCACATTTCATAGCATTCAGATCATCTTCAAATTTCTCAGCCTGCATTTTCAGTTCTTTCTCCAAACTCTTGACTTGGCTTTCAAGTTCATTGATACAGACCAAACACTCTGAAATCTCATCCGTCTGCTGCTGTATCTTTCCTTCTAATATCTCCACTTGTGAATCTAGTTTTTGTATAGTAGCCAAAGAAGCAGAGTTTTCATTCTGTAACATAATTTGCTGTGCTTCTTCTTGCTTCAACCTCAAAGAAATGTCCAGGTTTTCCTTCCTCAGAAGCTCATATTCCGAAGTGAGCTCTGTTATATCCTTGTTTAGCTCTTCATTTTGTTTGTTATAGGTGTCTATTTCGCCATTCAGTTCAGCAATCTTCCGTTTCAAAAGATCTACTTCCGTGGTGTCAACAGGCTGATTGGTAATACTTCGGGACTTTCTACTGGAAGAGAGATCCGATATTTCTTTGTTCTTCTGTTCCAGCATTGCTTCCAAGTCTTCTACTGCCAATAGTAGCTCAGAGTTTGAGTTCTGGGTCTTCTGCAATTGTATTTGAAGGTTGGAGTTTAACTCTTTTTCATAAACAAGCTCTTCCCTTGTTGCTTTTAACTGAAGCCTAACATCTTTGACCTCAGACTGTAAGGTTTTTGTGGTTTTGGTCTCATCATTGGAGTTTCGCTGGGAATCAAGCTGTTCACATTTAGTTTTCAGCACATCTCTCTCCTCTCTGAGGCTGATTATTTGTGCCGACATAGACTGTCCTCTACTGCTTTCTTTTGCCACCTGCCGTCGAAGTGATTCTAACTCCAGTTCTGATACTTCTACCTGCCTCTTTAGAGAAGCAATTTCACTTTTGAGCTTTTCAGAGGCATTATCTGAATGATCTCGTAATCTATCTTTTGGGTGATTATCTTCAAGGCTGTTCGTCCAGTCACCTAAGCTTCCATCTGATGTTGAGCCCAGTGACCAGTCAGTGTTCGACCTCCTACGCATATGGGTTTCTTTAGTACTGGCCTGAACAGTTCCATTATTCAGTCTGAACGATGAAGCTAGCTCAGAATTGGCATTTTCTTCAGTATAACCAGATCTGGTGTTGCCTAAGCGACAATCCTGTAAAAGAATCAGGTAACAAATGTGAATTTTATGGAATGGCCATTCAACTATGCTTTCAGTTCAAGAAAGTGCTAGCTATAAAGCATCGTAAGAAACACTACTTCAACATTATAAGAACTGTCATCTGTGCTGTGAAAGCTGAGCTGATGATTCAAGCTTCCATCATTGTAAAGCTCCAGAGCTCCATCTTCCATGTTTCTGAAATCAAGATATATGGTTTCTAAATTTGTAACTAACAGCTGAATGTGAAATTGAATCAACAAGCTCTTCTGGTTTATGTTCACCTTTGTTCAGTACACCCTTCTACATTCTGAATCGTCACCTGTCTCAACAATGATTTTGCACGTGAGAAATCACTATTCATGTTAGCAATCTGGTGTCACCAGTGTTATTAGATTTGAAAGTTAACAAAGCTCCTAGTCCTAAGAAGCCCACAACGTTTATATGTATGCCATATATTAAGATAATGAATAATGCAAGATTGTGATTGTGCACGTTAAGAGTGTCGCAACTAGTGAGATAATGAGCAAGGGAGAGAGTATACTAACATGTAAAATTGCACCTGAATTAGCAAACTTCAACGGAAGTGAAACAGTCAGCGGCTCAGTTTCTGCTATAAAATCTGCAAAATCGACTGAAGCTTCTCCAAGATAACCAGATTTTGAAGATCCCTGCAAGAGACCAGGACGATTAAATTTTCCAACCAACTCTTCATCAGGCAAAGGCCCAATTAAAATGAAAGTAAGGGGGAAAAAAAACAAATACAGGTGTTGCTTACAGTTGCAACAACAAAATGGTAGATTTTCTCATGTATTTTCCCGGATTTTGAATCCTGAACAAGTTTAACTGATTCGAAAACCGGGTTCTCCCACACACAGGTTCCTTCCTGCACCGCAGTTTTCTCTAGTTTCACCGTCGGCTTCCCGACATCATCCGGAACCAGGGATATCATCAGCGCCGACTTCTTCATTTTCGGCACCTGAAACAAACGAGATGCACCATAAGGTGAGTCTCTTCAGGAATCTGTATACTGCCATATAACTTTTATACTTCTCTTATACCAATCGAGTTTCAAAATTTTAGGCCATTATGTTTCAATCATAACCGCTTCACCGGCCACAATTTAGATTCAGTAACAGAACGAGGCAAAAGGGGGGGGGGGAGTTTAGTTTTCTTCGCCTTACCTGAGTTGCCTGAAACTGCAATTTGAATACAGCTTTGATCTTGTTCTTCTTGCTCCATGACTTAAACATTTTCCCGGCCGATTAGCAGTTCAAATGCCTGAAAATCCTCCTACAAGCTGAATCTCATTGTGACGCCGTCATAATTTTGTCGGACTCGCTAATTTCAAAACCTTTAATTTAACAAAGTCGGTAGTCGGTAATATCCGGATGTTCTGAAAGCACCGAGCATTGTGAAGTCAGCAGATTGGAGTCATTTCTTATCCGAGACTTGATCCAACACTGAACCTGCGGCTGATTAGTAAACTAAATTTAGACTTCAAATTAAAAAAAAAAAAAGCAAAAAACAAAAAAACTGAACCTGATTCAGAGCAGAACAGTTTGATTAGAAGCTTCTTCGTAAGACTTTTTGAATCATCATGGATTACTTGCTCCAAAGAAAAACTGCGGAATTCAATCGCATTATTGGACGCTTTTGGGTTCGTAACGCAAAGGACAAGGAAGGAACAGAGAGAGAAATTTCAAATTACAAGATTGACCAAACACATTTGAGTCTGAATCAAGGCGAACGATATATTTTTAACGAGCTTTAAGTGCGATTCAGATCCCTCTATAATAATTTAATTTGAGCCAAAAAAGAAAGGGGCGAAACCTGTCTGTACGTGAACCTCACGGTGGCGCTTTTATTCCCCCCCCCCCTCTTTATTATAATTAAAATTAATATAGAGATCGATTTAATTTAAAGAGAATTGCTGTTAATTTATGGATATAGAATCTCAAGTATTCTCTGCCAGGTTGGCAAAAATGTCTCTCACCTCATTTTTTTAACAGCAAAAGTAATTTATTTTGAGTATCATTATTAATAAATATATATAACTGTATTATTCGTAGGGAATATATTTCAAGTTTTCAATGAGTCAAATCTCTCTGTCGTTCTTAGTATTCTTATCTCTTTATTTTTGGTTCCATCCAAACTACAGGTCTACTTGTTAAAATTGTATCCGAGCTAAAGAACATAGTCCTCAAATTAGATTCTTAAATGTATAACATCTAGCATTCAAACCCTCCATCATTTTTTTTAAATAAATGGGTCCTCCTTATCACTCTTAAATCTAAATCTAAGTTGGTTAAGTGATCAAATTTTTCTTTTTTTAAAAAAATTAATTAAAGAGGCAAGAACTAATGGCTTAATATTACAAATGGGACAGAATCCACAACCTGTAGTACAAAAGGCCGCCAATATCACTAGCTACAGGGCTTTTTGCTGTAATCAAGTTTTTCTAGCATTTCTAATCCCTCTTAGAATTATATGCTTTTTTTAAGAATTAATAACATTTTTAATTTTAAAATTTGACTTTATTTTGGTTTTAGTCTATGAAATTTTGAAGCAGTGATTTTAGATTTTAAAACCTCATTTCAAGAACCAAAATATCTTAGGCTGATTATATAATAAGATCAAATTTCAGGTATCAAAATTAGTAGTTTTAAATTACAGGGGCGAAAATATTAGCCTTTTCTTATTACCAAATCTTCAAATTACATATCAAAAGGTAATATGCGGGTGTGTATCTAATCTAAATATGATATGCAAAAAAGCGGCACTACTACTATTATTTATAAAAGCTATAAATAACAAACTTTAAATATGGGAGAAAGTGGATACGCATACTAGTTGTTTAATGAAAAGGGACGATAAAGGGGATTGAAAGAATCCAAAGAAGGGATTACTATTTCTACTTTATTCTTAAAATAGGACGCACGTAACGTCAAGAAGCTTGTAAAGTAGTTGCACTGAGATTGAGATGCGAACTCACTGGACTCCATTAACATTCAAGCTTCTAATCGGCAACTATATTTATCTAAATGGGAACTAAATTACAATTTTAAAAATAATTTTATAATATGTGAAAGTAAATATATCAACTTGTTTGTTTTGATTTATAAAAAAATACTTTTAAAAAACACTATGTAATCATCTTTAAATCATAGTTCCCACTACTTGTAAATAATTTATCACTGTAAATTTTACCATCATTTTCAGTCATTGTGCACAATTCACACACACGGGTTTAGATCAAGTGGATCACATTTTATTACTTTTCAGATATCAAGTCTAGTTACTGGTAATGTGTAAATAAAGAAAATTTCTATTTAAAAAAATTCTACTCTCTTGTGATTTCACTAAATTCGGTCTAAATTATTGAAAATTCAATATAAATTCCATAAGCTCGTTGCTATTGCTAGAAAAAAGAAGTGCAGTATAAATCCAATTGTTCATTAAATCAATCGAGATAGTAGTTTAACAGTTAAAAGCTTTAATTATAGTTAAATTGAGATCAACCCAATCATAATTAAACTAATACTCCTCCGGTCCTTATTATAAGACCCAATTTGACTTTTTATTTGGTCATAATTATAAGACCCAATCCATTTTCTCTTTTATATTTATGCATTTTTTTCCAAGATAATCCTTCTAATAATGATAGTTTTAGCTAATATACTTAATTAGCAAGGATATTTTAGGAATAACAACACTTATTTATTATAAATAACCAACTTAACTTACTTCCTTAATCTCCTCAAATAAGTCAATTGGGTCTTATAATTAGGACCGGAGGAGTATAATTTAATTAAAGTATACAAAAATATTCATATATGATCTTTAAAGGCGTTAATCCACAATTAAGGGCCTGTTTGGTTTGAGGGGAGGGAGGGGTAGGGAAGGGGAGGGGAGCTTTTATCCTCACCTTATTTGGTTTGATTAAAAAGGAGGGGAGGGGAGGGTATTTAATGATCCCTTGTTTGGTTCAAGGAGGGGAGGGGAGTGATAGTAATAATCAATTTACCATTTTACCCTTACATATTAGTTTATGTTTTTTATTGATATATTATATAAATTAATTTACATCTTAATTTAAATTATATAATTTAATAAAAATTCAGTCTTATCATGTTAATATGTGTATTAAAAAGTTGGTATAGTAATTTTTTATTCTAATTAATATAATAATATATTTAAAATAATCAAATTAACAAATTTTATATGCTCTAAGAAAAATGAAATTTTATTTTCTTTAGACTATCTTTTTTTCCAGCTTTAAAATATATTTAATAAATAATATATTTATAAAAAAAATTAATTTTATATATTATAATTTTTTATTTAAATAATTTTTTATTTTTAAATAATTTTTATAATATATTTTTAATTATAATAATGTATATATTTTTAATTTTTTACTTAGGATAATATATTTTTATTTGAAATAAATATTATAATAATATATTTTATAGGTAGAAGTGGAATATTAAAAAAACCATAAAGGCATAATGGTTCAAAATTTTGGCTCATCTCCAAAAACCCCCAATTTGGAGGGGAGGGGACATTTTAGCTCCCCTCCCCTCCAAAATTTTTAACCAAATGTAGGGAGGGGCTCATTTGCCCTCCCCTCCCCTCCAACCAAACACGCCCTAAACGAAACATCTGTGTATAATTCACATAAAATCCAATAAGTGTTAAAAACACAACCTAACGGATTTGTGTCTATTTTTCTAACTTAAAACAATGTTATTTTAAGCTTAACAAGAAGAGAAAAATATATAAAATCAAACTTAATCAATTCATTGAAATTCTAAAACTCTTGACCAAACCAATCAAAAAATTAATTTACCCTTTCACTGATGTAACCAACAAATCCAAGTTAGGTTTTAGTACATGATCACGCCATACCCATAAAGTCTTTTTTTTTTAAAATTAAATCAAATCAGCAGCTAGATTGTGATGATTCTTTAATCACAGGGTACAGGTTTTAAAGAAACAATCACTCTGATTTACTACCATTTCAAAGTCACAGTACCCCCCAGTTGACTAAAATTACACCCCAGACCCCACGCGCGCGCACAGAGACACAACGTTTTTTTATTTTTTTTTGGGCATTCTTTGTGCGGCCTATACACACACAATTTCCCGTTTCCCAAAAGGACCACGTGCTCATGTGCTGTCATTCATAACATTGCCAACAACCCGTTGAATAAATGCAACGCCTTTCTGCCACAACCACATCATGAGCCGCATTCAGTTGTGAATGAGTTGTAAATGCCAAATATGATTGAGCAAAATTATATTTCAAGGAATATTTATATAATTACGTATCTGCACTTTTTTTTTTTTTGAAGTAGATATATTATGTTATTTATTGTAAATTGTTGTCTCTAAAGTCATACCAAGGACCACCATCATTTTTAAATAATATTTTCATATCTTTTTATTTCACTTCACTTTGTATTTTTTTTATTTTCATATATTATTAATTTAAATTATTTTTAAGGATTAAAATTATTAAATTTTGAATGACATTTTATCAAGACTTAAAAACAGTTAATGTGCAAATTTATCTTGAAAGCTTTCATTTAGGAACCCCGAATACTTGGAAGGTTTTCTGGGTGTAAATTTACCATGAAAATTTAAAATCATAGCAACATTATTTCTTACAGTTAAAAAACTAACGTTGATCATTAACATATCTTATTGTAGTGGGCAACATTACTATGATTTTAAATTTTTGGGACAAATTTGCGCACACACAAAAAAAAAAGCATTTCAGGTGCCTATCACTCCTAAGTAAAAATTTTCAAAGCAAATTTATATCTCAACCCTCTAAAAAATATAATAGTTTTATTTTTCACAACTACCTTTTACTAATACTGACTCTTTCAAATTTAAATATTGTTATCAACAAAGATTGGGTTTAACAAAATGAGCTAATTCCTCGTAACGTGCGCGAATTAAAATTTAAATTTCTATTGTAAGAGGTATTAACAGCTAGTGTTTGACAGTACTTTAAATTGGATTGTATTTAATAAGAAGATATTGTTGAGTTATATTAGAAGATAGCTCTCTCGGTGTGTTTGTTGCTAATAGAAGTGGAAATATGATAGAAGGCTTGTAATGATCTATGGCATGGCCTAGTTAACGCAAAGTTAAAAAAAAAAAAAAAAAAAAAAAAAAAAAAAAAACGGCCCCAAGACATGTTTAAACATAAGTCTATTATGAAGCACGGTCTACAAATAAATATGTAATCATACATTAAAAATATACTCCTCCAGTCCTTAATATAAAACCCAATTTTTGAGTTGGTTTTAGTCCTAAATATAAGATTTATTTATTATATTTATCAATTTTTTCTAAATTATCCTGGTAGATACTCTTTCAACCATAATTAAGTAAAAGAGGGAGATGAGATATTAAGAAAGATGATTGTGGTGGTTTAGGAAAAATATATCACATTTCTTATAATTAACTAACTTACCTAACTTCTTTAATCTAATCAAATTAGTTAAATGGGTCTTATATTAAGGACCGGAGAAGTATTAAATTTTAGAAATTTCTATTAATTGTAATTGTAAGTTTCTAAAAATTCGATATTATTTTAAAAAATATAATATTTTGTGTAGTCTCTTGTAGTTAGCTTTTAAAATTAAATAAAATTTTAAGGTATTAACCTAGCTTCTTTTTTGACCTGCTTAACCTACTTTATTTTTTTAAGTGCTACATGTTTAACTGTAACT